TCCTGCCACGTTCCAAGCCCTGATGGACCGAACCTTTCGGCCCTACATAGACCGTTTTGTTGTTTGCTACTGAGACGATATCCTGGTCTATTCAAAGACACGTGAAGAGCACCTGGAGCATTTGCGGCTGGTCTTTGAAATCTTACGGCGTGAGCAACTGTTTGCCAAGCGTTCTAAGTGCCACTGGGCCCAGCCTCAGGTCGAATACCTTGGTCACATCGTCCCCAAGAATAGCATCCGCATGGATCCCCGTAAGACTGCTGCGGTGCGGAACTGGCCTACCCCGACCAATTTGCAAGAACTAAGGAAGTTCTTGGGGCTGACGAACTACTTCCGTAAGTTCATCGAACGCTATGCCATTATTGCCGCACCTCTGACAAATCTGACACAAAAAGGGGCTTTTGTATCTCCTGGGGTCCTGACTGTCAGCAAGCTTTCCTGTAGTAAGCTACATTTCCCTTAGAATATTTCAACGATTACTGTTAACAATAACTGTTAATTCGTTAACGATTCGACTCAAGTTTCGTACATGTTACGAGTTTCGTCACATGTCATTCGGTTGCAGGAGAGGGGGATTAGCGGCCCCATGCTAGGTGCTCTGAGAAAAGCGTACGAGAAGGTGTCCATGGTGATGAAGGTAAATGAGAAAGTGGGGGGAGAGTTTGAGTCGAAGCAAGGAGTGAAGCAAGGGTGTCCTTTATCTACGGAGTTGTTTGGACTCTTCATCGAGACACTAGCCGATCTGATTGATACTCATGACCTTGTAGAAGCTGGTGCACGTAAGTGTGACGCACCCCTTGTGGACAGCAAGCGCGTCTCCATACTGTTGTATGCAGACGATGTTAGTCTGCTAGCGACGTCAGTAGAGCGAATGTCTGAGTTGCTACATCTTGTGGACTTGTTTTGTGAAGCTTTTGGGATGCGACCAAATGTCTCAAAGTGTGAAAGGCTTGTTTTTGCATGTGACGGCACCCAGCAGTCGGAACTTAGCGGGAGATGTCAACAGTTACGGCTATCAGGCCAGGTAGTACCTGCCAAAGATAGCGCTCGCTATCTGGGCTTGGTATATGGGCCAGAACGGCCTTTTAGTGCGTGCCGTCAGCAGTTGTGTGATACAGGTCGGTCCGCTATGTTTTCCTTAAGCGCAAAGCTGGACAAAATGAAGCTGTTTGCCCCCGATGTGCGAATGCGGTGTTTTGCAACCCAAGTCCGAGCAATTCTGTTGTATGGCTGCCAGGCGTGGGGCCCTTTTGCGCTGGCAGAGGTCGTGGACAGGGCGGGAAGGCGGCAGGATAAAGCCAACCTTGCGGAGGGCATGTTCGAAGCCTGTTTGAAGGATAGTGCAGTCCAGCTGCAGATTTTATTCATGAGGCAGGTAGTGGGGACGGCACGGCCATCCCACAGGCTGTTGTACGCGGAGCTGGCTGAACTCCCCTTACAATATTACATGGTGAAGCAGATTCTCCGTTTCTGGAACCGTCTTCAAAAGCAAGTGGGATCCATTGCTCATGCAGTTTTACGGCAGGAGATAACCGATGCCCTGACCAACCCGGAATGGGAGGGTTGGGGAATCTCAATGTTACGACTGTTTTCCTTCTTGGAGTGCAACATTTGGAGCGGAATACCGCAAGAAGTCGTGGGGGTAAAGGAGCGTGTTGACTGGTTGTTGAGTAGACCTCTACCAGAAGGAGCGATAATAACGGCACTAAGAGAGCGTTTGATGAGCGGCTGGGACCATACGCGTCTGACTGTCTTGCCAGAGGAGTACCCATCAGATGGGAAGCAACCGGGAGTGCAAATGGCGAAGTATAAGCACTGGATGGGGCTGCCCTTTTCGGGAGCCGCAGCCGTCATGTGGCCAACACATGCTAAGGTTTTCATTCCTCGTTTAGCACATCGTAAGCTAATGCAGTTTCGTTTATGTTGCTGGGCTTTGGAGGCGAACAGAGCACGAAGGGGCAAGTACCATGTCCCCAGGGGGCAGCAGTTTTGCCACTGTTGTGGTCCTAATAGCCGAATTGAGGATGAAAAACACGTGTTATTGGAATGCCCAGCCTATAATGATATTCGTGCTGAAGAGGGATTCGATCATCAACAGAGTATGTTGGAGGCCATGCAATGGGAACCCGCACGTCTGGCGAGGATGTTGGAACATATGTGGGCTCACCGAAACTCAATTACCCCCTTTGGACGCTAGTCTGGGCTGATGTGCGGTGTTTTTTTTCCTTTTCTCCGTGGCTTTTAGGCGTTGTAGTATTGCCCTTGGGCATTCGGCTCGTATGGGTAGTCTTACAGGTATGGGGTCACGCACCCCCAACCATGTAACACACACACACACACATGTCTCGATCATGGCAGTTGTTCGTAAGCGAACCTAACGGGCTGGGGCCCCGGGCCCCACCGACATTATCCTAGTAAGGCAGGACCGTGGTAGGGAATCTCCGGCAGGTAGGCTGAGATATAAGCTACCCGGGCAGGGTGCTCTGGCCAGAGACTGAAGTATCACGACTACTAGGTGTTCGGAGTTCAAGACTCCGCCGCCGCCGTCTAAATTGTTTTGTACGCGTCTATTTACGCTAGTGCTTGCCGCTGGGTTGGACTTCTTCCGGCCTCGGTGAGGACTGTCAACTCTACGCTTCCGCATAGCCAGTCAACCCGTCAGGTGAGCGACTGCTACATTTCAATACACTTAAGCGCATTGTCTCTGAAGACATCATTCTGCGTTTCCCGGACTACCTCCCAACCTTTCCTTGTGGAGGTCGTAACTGATGCGTCCTTGCATGGTACGGGAGCAGTACTTCAGCAAAACGGGAGACCAATCGCTTTTACTAGTAAGAAGTTATCGGGGGCTGAAACCCGTTATACCACTGGAGAACCAGGACTTCTTGCTGTACTGAACACGCTTAAGGAGTGGCGGTGTTATCTGGAGGGTCGACCGTTCACCCTCAAAACCGACCACAAACCCCTAACGTTTCTGCAAGGCGTGCCTACCCTTAACCGTCGTCAAGCCCGGTGGATGGAATACCTTAGCCGGTTTGACTTCACATGGGAATACCTGCAAGGCATCCTTAACGTTGCTGATGCCTTAAGTCGGCACCCTTGTCTGCATGCAGCCATTCTGTCAGTCGTTACACGCAACCGTGCTGCAGCACCCGTTGTGCCCTCTGAACTTGTGCAACGACTTCGAACTGCCTATGCCACGGATCCCTGGTTTTCCGATAACCACAATACTGGCCATTTAACCCGTAACAGTGGCCTTTGGATCCGCCCTGAGGTTACATTTCGGCAGGTTGTCGTTCCGAATGATGACTTGCTGCGTCATGATCTCCTGTCACGTTTTCATGACGACCCGCTGGCTGGGCACCCTGGCTGCACCCGTTTGATCGAGGTTCTCCATCGTCAATTCTGGTGGCCTCGGATGGCTAAGGACGCTGAGAACTATGTCCAGAACTGTGAGCTGTGTCAACGCAATAAAGTCCTGTCTGGTAAGCCCCACGGCCTCCTGTGTCCCTTGCCTGTGCCGGAAGCCCCTTGGGAAAGTGTTACCATGGACTTTATTGTAGCTTTGCCCAAAACTGAGGGGGGATTCGATGCCGTTTTGGTCATGGTAGACCGATTCACGAAAATGGTGCACCTGGCACCTACGGTATCATCCTGCACAGCTGAGCAAACTGCACGTCTGTTCTTTGACAACATAGTGCGTTTGCATGGTGTTCCCAAGAACGTTGTGACCGACCGCGGATCGCAATCTGCCAGCAGGCACCCTGGGTTATCTGTTAGGCATGCGTGTTAACCTGAGCACCACCTATCACCCACAGACCGATGGACAGACAGAACGTACGAATCGCACTCTTGGCGATATGTTGCGCAATTATGCCGGTCGTACGCCTTCTGTCTGGGACACATACCTAACTGCTGCTGAATTCGCGATTAATAATGCTGTGAATCACGCGACTGGCAAAAGTCCGTTTTTCCTGAATTACGGATACAATCCTGCCTTGCCTATTTGGCGGGAGTTGGACGTCAACTTGCCAGCAGCAAAGACGTTTGCCAAGTCCTTTGCAAAGTCCGTCGGGACACAATTGTGTCCCGACGGACTGATGCTAAATCTTGCCTTGAAGCTGCACAGCAACGTACTGCGGACTACTTTAACAAATCCCGACGTGCCATCACCTTCTCGCAGGGCCAGTTGTTGATGCTGAGCACTAAGAACCTGAGGTCCCTAGCGGATGGTTCTCGTAAGCTTTTACCTCGTTGGGTGGGACCATTTCCTGTCGTTCGCATGGTTGGGTCTTCTGCAGTCGAGCTGCAACTACCACCTGACATGCGCATCCACCCCACATTCCATGTCTCTCTAGTCTGACCTTTCCGTACTACTGACTCTGCTAATGCGCTTCAGCCAAAACCTGCTCCTACTGTCACGGAGCCAGGACCAGTTACTTGGCTTTCAGGCAAGCAGACATTATACACGGTTGGACGGTTCCCGAAAAGTAGGCAGAAACCGCCGCCGTAAGCGCACTGTGCACGAGTATCTTGTCAAATGGGCTGGGTACTCGGCTGAGCACAACATTTGGGAACCAGAAGCTAACTTTACCCCTGATCTGAAACCTCTCCTGGAAGAAGCACGGCAACGAGCACGGGCGAGGTAAGATATGCGGGTTAAAGGTAAGTGTTTAACTCCCGCGCTTTTTGGCCCGATTCTGCTCTGCCAGTTTCTTGCCATGCATCGAGGACGCTGCATCTAGAGGGGGGATAGTTGTTGTATTCCGCTTCTTAAATTTGGTCCCAAACTGATACATTTTTCTGTCTAATTTTCCTTTCTCGCTTGGCGCGGTTGCTGGACAAGTTCACTGGAACTAACTGAATTCCAACTGCCTATTTTGCCGCCTTTCTGTCAGATCTTTATGGCTCCGACCTCTGGGTCAGACGGCGAGCGGGAAGCTGTCATGGATGCCTACAAGTAAACGCCACCTCAGGCGGAAGTCCATACTTGCAGAAGTATGGGCGGGGGTCGTAGCACAGGCTACGACTGGGACGCTGGTCCCTGGCTCGTGGAGTCCCGTCATCGATTGCAAGCATGGATCAACGGTACGCCATTCCGGGACTGGACCGCGCCATTTCGGAACTGGCTGTACGATTCATGGGATGGCTGCATCCCCCGCTATTTAAGCGGACGAAACTCTTCCAATCGGTGTCTTCCGACGCCACCATCCAGTCGTGGTTTGGTTAGATATATCAGAAACAGCCCCTGTGCCGCTGACAATGTGGCAGCCTGAGGACTTTCTCCTCCATCGTGAGCACCCAGCTTACCTGGGCCGGGTGGAGCGGATCGACACACTCAGTGGCTCGCAACTGGCCTCGTTACGGAGGTTTTACAACCTGTACAGGCCGGCAGCTGCTGAATGGCCAGCCAACTGTGTGATTGAGGCGACAGCCAAGTTCCTCCACTGGGCCTGGGCTGGCCCGCTGGCGCTGGAAGCTGGAAAATGGTTTCTCTCTCGTCCTGCCTCTGAGGATCCAACCATGTGGTTTGGGAGGGTGCAGGGCATCATCGCTCACGTTGGGCCCGGTTCACCCTGATGGACCATGGTGGTTCGCGGAGACTGTTGTGCCGTGGGACTGCTGGGCTCTGCCACACCCCAGGCGTGCTGGATCGCAGGTCCTACTGGCGAGGCACTGGAACATCACCCGCCACCTGCCACCATATCCACGACTGTGAGAACCTGCGCCTGGGTATGCATGCATGCATGGAGAGGGGTCGCGGGTCGAGGATTTGGACCGTACTAACTGGGCCATAGGCACACGAGACACGTGTGGCATGTGGCATATGCCCGTGTACCGCATTAGGGAAGGGGAGGAAGCGGCAGAGGAAGGAAGCGGAAGGGGAGGAGGCGGCAGAGGAAGAGGGGGCAGGGGATAGAGGCGGCAGGGAAGGAGGCGGCAGGGGAGGAGGCGGCAGGGGATGAAGGCGGCGGGGAAGAAGGCGGCAGGCGAGGAGCGGCAGGGGATAGAGGCGGCAGGGGAGGAGGCGGCAAGGGATAGAGGTGGAAGGGAAGGCGGCGGAAGGGGAGGAGGGGGCAGGGAATAGAGGCGGCAGGGATGGAGGTGGCAGGGGAGGAGGCGGCAGGGGATGAAGGCGGCGGGGAAGGAGGCGGCAGGCGAGGAGCGGCAGGGGATAGAGGCGGCAGGGGAGGAGGCGGCAAGGGATAGAGGTGGAAGGGAAGGAGGCGGAAGGGGAGGAGGGGGCAGGGAATAGAGGCGGCAGGGATGGAGGCGGAAGGGGATAAGGTTGAAAAGGAAGAGGCGGCAGTGGAGAAGGTGGCCGCTTCCAAACAATAGCTACCTCTTTCTTCGGATACATAGAGCCTTAGGCTCCCTTACTTATCGTTCGTATTCATAGCTTAAGATGCTAGTCAGCTGCAGAATTTCGTGAATGGGTTCTTGTCAGGTGTATAGCTGTCTTAACGTAGCCAGACTTGCCTCAACCGCTGTAATTATTTTTACTGAAATAATACCATAGAGAGTAAACTCTTCCAGATTCCACCCAGGTTCAAATCGGTTATTTTGGGCTGGGAATCTGGGATACATAAAATTTCCAACGTAGGCGTGGCCTCTTCATTTCTGTTCTCCTGGATGGTTGACATGGGAAGGCGGAAACAAGTTGCCAAGGGTCCTTACGCTGCAGAAAAACACAACCCCAGCCCAACGGCCACTATACCCCCATCGTGCTGCCCACCAATGCCCCTCAGCGGGGCAACACGCGCATGACACATAAACCTATCCAAAGAACTTCGAACGACTCTCAGACTCTCATGTGGTGACATCTATAGAGGTAGCTACCTCCTCAACCCGGGAAGATCCCTGCAGGTTCAGCTGACTGGTTCCCCCCTACACCAAGCACTACCCCTTCTGAGCTCCAAAGGCCATACTACTAGGCTAAATGACTCGACCGAACCCACCCCGTCCCGGCCCGCTGGCTGTCCAGCCGCCCCTCAGCGGCCGTTTGCCACAAGCCTGCTGCTGGCAGAGCCTAGCGCGGAGGCGTCTGCGATTGACCAGCGAAGAAGGGAAAAGGAAACTCACTAATCCATGATTGATTTCTTTTCAGAACTAGCCAGAGACACAATGACTTTCAAGGTAAAATGCATTCCCCAATCCGCTTCGAACTGTATGAATGGTTATTTATACACCCCGCCCGGCCGTCAGGGCGATGGATTCAGGGCGATGACCCGGATCCACTTCGCCTTGCACTTTTTGATACAGGGCGATGGATGACATACAACAAAGGTCACACTTGGCAAGAGAACAAAAGCCTGCCAACTGAGAACAATTCAGTATTCCTTTAATGAATAAAAGGAACAGAATGCTGCCAAAACAATCAGTGTTGGAAAACATAGGTGGCGCCGCAATGCTCACCCTCTGATCTACATAAAGCCTTGAGGAATCATAAGACATGATTGGATGGCGAACCAGTAGCTTTAGTACTCAGTCCATTGCTGGCACAGCAAGCTGACGCATGGATGCGCGGGAAGCCCATGACCCAATCTCTAGCCGTTTCGGACATAGGGACCATATAGGCTTAAATACAATGAAGAACGCTGGAACAAACCGTTGATATGCTTGTTGTAAGCAAGGGGTGCAGCTTTACACGAAGAGGCTTTTATAAGAATGGAGTGGGAGTCATGCACATGGGCGCCCTTGCATGGCATAAGGGATGCGAAACATATGTCGATAACGTTCGTTGTATGAATGTTGGTAAGATATTGTTCAGTTTTGGTGGTGTTAAGCAGAGGTCCAATACCTGGCCATCGGGGTTGCGCGAGCTTCTAACCCAACCCTGACGAGGCCAACGAGTGGATCATCGATTCGATATACCATCCTCGTTTGCTGCTGAACTTTGCTCGTGGGTTCGTTTTCGTGTCCTTGTCATTTTGCTTGGTCTGGAGAGAATTTTAGCGATGGAGATAGGACCCTCTCCTAGATTAATGATCCTCATGATCTAACTACACGTTTCAGGGCCATCAGTAAATGATTCTACCATGCGTCGTGAGTTCTGGTAGATATGCATGTCTGGTGTTACCGGTGAGCTAACCCACGAACGCAGAATCGGAGTTTCCCACATGCAGCTAGCTTCTGCAATGGGACATGATGAATATTGACTGCAACATGTATTCGCGTCTTATCACGAACGCATAAAAAGGCGCACGCGATACGTCACGTCTGGAAAAGGACGCACGCTACTAACGAGCGTGCTCATCGCTATCAAAGGATGCCGCGCATAGGGAGCCTTCGCTATCCACGTCCGCTTCTTTGAAAGCGTGACGCTGGCATTAAGCCTATACGGTCCCTATGTCCGAAACGGCAAGAGATTGGGTCATGGGCTTCCCGCGCATCCATGCGTCAGCTTGCTGTGCCAGCAATGGACTGAGTACTAAAGCTACTGGTACGCCATCCAATCATGTCTTATGATTCCTCAAGGCTTTATGTAGATCAGAGGGTGAGCATTGCGGCGCCACCTATGTTTTCCAACACTGATTGTTTTGGCAGCATTCTGTTCCTTTTATTCATTAAAGGAATACTGAATTGTTCTCAGTTGGCAGGCTTTTGTTCTCTTGCCAAGTGTGACCTTTGTTGTACGTCATCCATCGCCCTGTATCAAAAAGTGCAAGGCGAAGTGGATCCGGGTCATCGCCCTGAATCCATCGCCCTGACGGCCGGGCGGGTATAAATAATCTTATTAGGGACCAGGGGTCGGCAAATGGCGCTGGTACAGCGGGTCCTTCCGTTGTACCCGTTGCAGAAATTCAATTCTATTCTTCATCGCTGGTACGGCAGCCGTACGGCAGGGTGCAGAAATTCCCCGAAAAAGGCAGGTTTGCGTAGTTTTGAAGCTATGAACTTCATCATTAGGTTACCAAACCTTCCATTTTACAAGGAGGTAAACGCTAGCTTTGAGAGATTCTCATAACGAACAGTCAATTGACGACCTTGACCAAGGGCATTTGCCACTGAAGATATGCATCGTTGTTATGCAGAGTAGAAGTGACGGATTGCTCAGATAACACTGAGGTAATCGTGCGGTCGGTTGGGGGTTGTGCTCGCATACGACTTCTGATGCGGATTTGAGCAGTTAAGTGACGCACTTGATGAACAAACTTATCCGTAATTGAGCGCAACAAGACAACTGTGGCTTTAACAGCGATGGTGTAACGTAGTAATTTTGGTACATCGGCCCGCAGACACTCTTTCCTCGGCTTTTACAAAAAACAATTTCGATACAGTTATTCGACCCTGGCACAAGTACCAGCGACAGTTATTCAGGGTTTGCCGACCTCTGTTAGGGACAATAATACTGTACGGCATTTACGACCTCAAAGTGGGAACAAACGCTAAAACTAATAAATAGGGGGGTCCTTGTGAAGCAGCTGCCCGCGTTTCCAAAGCACGTATGGTGTTGGATTGTAAGGTGCCCAAGTACGTTTGCGAGGAAGAGAATGTGGCCAGGCTGGAGAGGAATGTGCAGTGGCATATTGGAATGTGAGATTAGCGTAAGCGAGTTACAGGGCGTTTGGCGCACGGGCGAATTTACGTGCATACCTTTCACCGTAGCATCAGTCCTCAGTTCACTTTTTGGAACGAACATCAGCATAGGTCCAAGCCCTCTCACTTGGAGGGATATGCAAGCAAACATCCTGATAGGGGTAAACTCGCACGCTACATACGAGCATTCAACCGAGCACATGCATGCTTAGTTGAATGGTGAGATGCGTCGGCAAACCCTGAATAACTGTCACGGGTACTGGTGCCAGGGTCGAATAACTGTATGGAATTTTTTTTGGTAAAAGCCGAGGAAAGGTCGTCAGTTGACTGTTCGTTATGAGAACCTCTCAAAGCTAGCTAGGTCTAGAGCTTCAGGCACCAATTCACTTGAAATTCTTCGCGGGCGTATGGCCAAGAAGAAGGGGAGGCACCAGCCGACCCCGCCAAAATCGGTGAAGGAACTCGCAGATCGGGTACATAAGCTAGCCAAACAAAACGAGAACACTCCTATCAGGTCACTTGTCACGTTACAGGAGGACAGTAGCGAGGGCAGCGACGGGCAGAGAACCACCATGCCCTCACCGACAAAGGATGATACCATGGCCGACAAGGAAATGGACCAAACAGCCATGATAAAATACATCTACCAGAAAATCAGCCTCATGGATGGGCTGAACTCCAGGGTCGCTGGCCTGGAAACCAGCGTGTCTGGGCTTGACAACAGGCTCAAGGTGATGGAGGAGCGGATCAGCAGCAGCGCCGCAGCGGGATTCTCCGGGCGACATGAGGCTGGCAACGACAGCGCAGCGTTCCACGAAGACAAGGTTTTGGCGAGGGTTCCCAAGAAGCTGGTGGATGAGGACCGACTGAGCGACGTCCTGCACGACATGGTTCAGCGGCTGCGAAATGGGGCACGTTACACTCTCGATATCATCCCGTGGACAGTGAAGCCTGGGGCGAATGGCAGTACTGCTGCGGGGGGTGTACGCCCCACGGCAACGGCCGGTGCAGCCTCGGATGCACAGTGTAACCGGGCAGGTACCGATGAGCCAACCGTCCTAGTCGACATTCTGCTGAATCCGCAAGTGTGGAAGTCGTTCGTCACCCTAGGAAAGATTGCGCGTGAACAGCACGGCATCATCCTCATGGACGCGCTCACAAAGACGGGCAAACAGCTGCACGAGCAACGCATGGCAACATTCATCCACCTGCGTGACGTCAAGAAGGTGCAGCCGAGGTGGGAACGTGGTGTGGACATCACGGTCATGGACGGACAATGCAGGGTCCCCTTCGAGGGACCCTGGGTGGACGCGCAACCCAGCGGAGCTGGTGGTTCTGCTGGCATGGCACCGCGCGGCGACCGCCCCTAGGGGGCCGCGAGCCAAGAGACTCGTAAGTTGAGGTTTCTTCAGTGGAACGTGGGAGGGTTGACTGACTGGAAACTTGATTGTGATGAGTTTCGGATGATGACTGATGGGTATGATGTAGTAGTCATTACAGAAACACATAAAGTGGGAGAAGGTTGCATTAAGGGAGTTGTTCCTCTTGGAACTCGGGTTTTCTCTGCTGGGGGGGATGGCAATCGTGGGGGCGTCTGTGTGTGGGTTAGCGAAAGATATGCCAAGGCGGCCCAGCTGGTTGGCACATCTACAGCACCACGAGGTATGGATAGTATCTGCCCTGAACATGCGAGGGAATGGGTTACTGGTGGGGGCCACTTACGCGGCACCTGAGGGATCGATGGTGTACAACACGGTGATGGGACACCGAATGGCGCCTTCATCGGTAGCCAAGAGGGTGACGTGTCGCATTCAGACATTGATTAAGCGATATGCCAGGCCAGGGGATGAAGTGCTACTCATGGGAGACATGAACGCGAGGGTGGGACGAGAACAGGAAACGCCAGACATCCAGGACGATGACGATCTGGAAGAGGTGACTGGTTACCAAGTCAGTAATTCGGAATTGTTCCGAGGCGTACCAAACAGGCGGAGTCAGGATCCCCGCACGAACCTTTTTGGTAAGACGTTCACAAACATGTGCCGTGAAATGGAAATGATTGTTCTCAATGGACGGGTTGAGGGCGACAGGGAAGGTGTGATCACTTTCCACCACAGGGTGCGAGAGATGGGAAGCATGATTGATGTGTACTTCGCTACGATCGGACTGTTCACGCACTGCAAGAGCCTTCAGGTCCTAGGCATCCCAGTAGCTGATTTCGGGCCAGGAGCGGGTAAGCTTCTAAGCGATCACTGCCCGGTAGCATTGGAAATTGATGTTGGTAGGCACTCAGATGTTAGACGGACGAGGGGACTCCGATTTGACATGGGAAAGATAGCGCATTACGCCCAGCTCTTTGAAACAGATGACGCAGGGGTGGTGAGAAGGATTGCAGAGGCCACGGCACGTTTGGGGATGGAAGGGACCACCAGTACTGAAGCGGTTGAGGCCATCTTGGACGTCTTGTCCAGAGCCGTTAGAAAAGCTGGTCGTTCGATGGAACAGGGAGGTAGTGTGGGGAGGAGAGTTTCAGACGCCCCTTGGTGGACAGAAGAGTGTGCCACGGCTCGCTCAGCTATGCTCACGCACAAGGCTTTTATGAGAGCAAATGCATGGATGGAGGATCCCGACGCGCGAAGTATGTTTAGTAGCTTACGGACGCGATACCAGCGACTGCGACGTGAAGCTACAGAAGCGCATAAGGTCAGACGATATGAGGCGTTTTTGAAAGAGTGCTGTGGAGATCAACGCGCGCTCTGGAAGCGGATCAGTGGAAAGCCCAAGACCGCTTGCCCCATCAACGATATTGCTAGTTGGAGGCGGCACTTCGACACGCTCTTCAATGGGGACAAGGCTGCTGCCAGCGACGTCAAAGCGGATATCATCCTCAGTTTTATCAACGAGGCGGTGTATGGGGGCGGGCGCGGCTGGGAGCGGGGTAACACAAAAAGGGACGCCAGGGTATCATCGGCTCTTGCAATGAACAACCCCTTCACCCTGGACGAGGTCATCGTGGCCATGAAGGCACTGCGCAACAACAAGTCAGGAGGTGTGGATGGGCTGCCGGCTGAGGCTCTGAAATACGCACAACGCGAGGTTGGCAACAAGACGGAATTTGTGCTTGCACCGTACCTGCTGAAGCTCATGGAGCATATCCGCACGACGGGTGATTATCCCAAGCAATTCGAGGTATCATCACTCACACCCATCCACAAGAAGGGCGACGTGGATGACCTGGGCAACTACAGAGGGCTGGCAGTTGGCGGAGCGCTTTCAAAACTGTATGCGTTTCTGTTGGAGCGCCGACTCAGTGCATGGGGTGAATCGTCGGGAGCTCGTTCCCCTTATCAAGGAGGGTTTTGTAGCAAGAGAGGCACGTGCCATAACCTGTTTGTGCTCCGACATTTAATTGACAACACTAAGAGGAATACTGGGAAACCCCTTTTCGTGTGTCAGGTGGATTTTGAAAAAGCCTTTGACAAGGTCCCTAGGGATCTTCTATGGATGCGGTTGGAAGAGAGAGGGGTGACGGGTGCCACGCTGGATGCTCTGAAGGCTTGTTACCGGAGGGTAGAACTCAAGGTCAATGTCAACGGGGTGCTGGGAGACTCCTTTTCCTCGTTTCAAGGGGTCAAGCAGGGATGTCCGTTGAGCCCCACATTGTACGGCATTTTCGGGGAAGGTTTTGCAGACTACGTGGAAGCCAAGGACCGTCTTGCACCTGATGCTATGGCCGCGCATGATTGTCCCGAAAGCGATGGTATGCGAATCCCACTTATGTTCTACGCTGATGACCTAAACCTTTTTGCTATCTCGCACAGACGGCTTATGGCACTGCTGCGTGCGTTGAGGGAGTGGTGTGAAGCGTTTGGTATGAAAGTTAATACAGGAAAATGTGAGGTTCTGTTTTTTCACCATGACATGCATGCCTGCAAAGAGATGTACAAGTTAGGCGAGTACGGGCTTGTTCCCATGATGGTCACGGATGGAGGTGCGCATGTGAGTAAAAGCTTACCGTGGAAGGGTTGTACACGGTACTTGGGCCTTCATTATGGCCCGGGCACCCCTTTTGAGTCCTGTCGTGATGAACTTCATGCCTCTGGACAACGGGCGCTCTTCGCATTAGTCACCAAGCTTAGGCGACAGGGCCTGTTTGTGCCAGCTGTTGCTGTCAAAGCCTTCGACGCACAAGTACGATCCATCCTGTCTTACGGGGTACAGGTCTGGGGCCCGATGAGTGTCCTACAGGTCCTGGAACGAGGCTTCCCTAGAGGTCAAGAACACCGGTCATGTTATTTTGATTATGCGCTGGAGGATAAGATGGCTGGTCTGCAGAAATCCTTCCTGAAGCAGTTGGCTGGGGCGGGGGTGCCTCCCAATCGGCTACTGTTTAAGGAACTGGGGCAGTACCCGTTACAAGTACACTGGGCGAACCTAATCTTCCGTTTTTGGAACCGACTGGTAGAAGCTAAAGGCTCGGTGTATCATCATTGTTTTCGGGAAGAGCTTCGTTTGGCCTTTGCTTCCTCCTTATGTCACGATGGCTGGGGATCTAAGGTTGTCAGGATACTAGAAATTTTAGGGTACGACATGGGGTTTGAGGGTGGTGCGGATGAAGGGATTGAGGCTAGGGTAGATATTGCTGCGTCACATGTCCTAGATATTGACCAGTTATTGCAGGAACTCCGAGATCGATTTGATGACGACTGGGGTAGTGAAAGGCTGGCGATTGACCCACATATGTTTGTCTCTGACGACAAGCAACCAGGGGTGAAGATGTGTCGTTATTTGCAGTGGATGGGGCAACCTAAGCACTGCAAAGGCTACATCTTACCGAAACATCACGTCACTCTGATGCGTTTTAGGATGTGTGTTTGGCCTTTGGCTGTCAATCGACCCCATGGTAGGGAACGGGCCGCAAGGTGGTGTCGGGTCTGCAATAATCGTCAGGCAGTGGAGGATGAACGGCACGTGCTACTAGAGTGTCCGGAATATGCGGATATCCGTGCTAAGCTCTGGACCCTAGGCATTGCTCCAGGAGATGTTATGAATGCGGTGATGGGTGTCGAGAATCAACGCGGATTGGCACATGTCTTGGATTGCATACGGAGACGTAGGTTGCAGTACATAGACGACTAATGAGGATCACAGTACAGTGTTTTGATTTGTTGCCTTTTTTTATTCTTTTCAGTTATTGTTTCCAGCTCGGCGGCTCATGAGCCTCTTGGCTCGTCTGGGCCGTACAAGCTCAAGAAGCTTGTAATCAAAAGATTCGAGAAAAGATTCGAAGCTAGCGTTTACCTCCTTGTAAAATGGAAGGTTTGGTAACCTAATGATGAAGTTTATAGCTTCAAAACTGCGCAAACCTGCCTTTTGGGGGGAATTTCTGCACCCTTCCGCACGGCTGCCGTACCAGCGATGAAGAATATTTCTGCAACGGGTACAACGGAAGGACCCGCTGTACCAGCGGCGTTTGCCGACCCCTGGATGCGACCCCCCCTTCATTTCGTGCTCGGCAAGCCTGCCACCGTGTACCGGATATGTTAGCGATGTTACAGGTTACAGAGACGCTGCACCTTGGTTTCTGTGCGCAATGCGTACGATGCTCGACCCCGCCGACCAAAACTACACGTGCCCAACTGAAGACATTCCCGGTGGTTGTGCAGCAGCTCTTGAGGCTGTTGCTGGCTGAAATCCATCCTGAGCTGTTGCAACACGGCTAACGCGGGCACGTCCCTATGCACAGCAAATAGCTGTTCCAAGCCAACAGCGGCGTCCATGTCACCGACAAGGCTCTAAACGTCTTATCTGTTCTTATGTTTAATTAAGTTTATGTATGTTATACTTTGAGGGTCTTTCCATTGGCTGGTCGTAAATTTTCGTAGATTCTCCTTAGGGCCGGCCGGGCCCGCCGCAACTCCTTTTTTGGGATTTCTTGCACAAACTGATAATATAGATGTAAACGAATGTGTGTATGTAATTTTGGCAGCGCGAAGTGCCCCATGCGAGAAGTTGCCGGACGGCCAATGTAACGCCGCTAAGGCGGCCCTTGGCTCACCGGGCCAACGGTATCGTACCAACGGTACATCCAAGAACTATTCATAATCTTCCAATACCAAACGGTATTTATCAATACCACCTTTATCGTTGGATAATTTCCTTTTTCGCAACTGCTTGCCAACTGCAAGCTTTGTTACAACTTTGGTATCTTAGACCAACCGGTCAAAAGACCTCGGAGTCGAGTACTCCAACGCTTCCGCACCTACATCTCAGTTTCTTCAAACATTTTCTATTTAGCCCTCATGGCCAGTCCCAGGAACCCTCAACGCACCCAGTCGGCGGAGGCCGACCATGAGCGCTACCAGCTGCG